CGAACAAAGCCATGGGTAGCACAAACATCCAAACGGACGTAATTTAGAGTAGTTGGGTTGTGTATTATAAAGACGGAAATATGGAGAGTCATTTTGGAGTGTAGGGGTGGGTAGACGATTGATAAGATAAACTGCAGTTTGAAAAGCATAGACCCAGTAGGTTATGGGCATCGATCCCAGAAAAGTGAAGTAATGCCAAACGGTTTCAACAATGTGCCTATGCTTGCGTTCAGCTAAACCATTATACTCAGGTGTATGAGGAGGAGAGGTCATGTGAGATATACCATGAAAGTTTAAATTAGAACGAAGTTTTATATATTCACCACCATTATCAGTAAAGGGAGTGACAATTTTATGATTGAATGATTTTTCAACCAGGCGATGAAATTGTGGAAAAATACTGACGACTTCAGATTTTTTACCCAAGGAAGTAGGGTGTCGAACCACAGAGAAGCGGGAAATAAAATAATTAAGCACAAACTAAGGATTAAAGTTGGAAGTGCGTTTCTTTTGATTTTTTTGGTTGCTTGGAAAAGTAATAAAATAAAAGTGATTGAGATGAGAGATTTTTATCAACACAAAGTTCAACCAATAGCAAGTAGGGGTAGAAATTGGTAACTAATTGTTCAATGTTTAATTGAAAGAAATAATTGCTAATTTTATTCGTAGATAGATTGTGAGAAGTTGTGGATAAATATTTTAGGACCCAACACAAGTCATCTAAATAAGTAACTAGTCAACATTTCCCAGTGATGGCCAAAACGAGACTAGTTGTTTAAGTGCAACGACAACCTTAATTGTTAACTATATTATTTACCCAACCCCGTGGTGTAAATAATATAATTAAATAATTAAATTCTCCCGTAAAACTTCAATCCGGGACAAGGTAAAAGAAGTTTAACGGTGTGTTCAGAAAGTGTTCATTTGTGTATTTAACAAACAATATGTTTATGATTGAGTACTTATAATATATATCACAACATAACATAATTAATTTTCTGGACACAACAATCTAAATAGAACAAACTTAACAATTAAAATCAATACAAATTAAAACATGATAAGAACAATTAATTAACCAATTTCTAGCCCCAAATTTATTTAGCTATACATGTTGGGAAGCATAGAAATAGATGAATTCATGATTGAAGTACAAGATTTAAAGAGATAAGGAAGATCAAACTTGTGATAGATGACAATCCTTGGAGCTTGGTGCTAATCTTGACTTTAATCTTGATTGAGAAAGTGATTAATTGATGTTGAAGATTGGTTGATGATTTGGAGATGAAGAATGAAGAGAGGAGGAGGAAATGATTCTGGGAGGTGTAGAGAGAAGTTGGCTCGAGATTCTGTGTGGAAGGAGATGGATTAAGCCTTATAATGATAAGATAATTAATCATTAATTTGCTGGAATTTACGGACGTGAAGAGTATATGTAAAAAAAAAACGCAGTAAAGTTACAACAGTGCGTAGCAGCCCAACGGACGAAGTGTTTAAGCATGTAGCAGAGGTTGCGTGTTCGATTCTGGCTTCGTACTTTTGTTCCATTTTTTCTTTGATGTGGTCACAAGCAATATATAAACTGCCGGCTGATTGTGTACAACATTGGCAAGTTAGCTCACTGGTTCTGAATGGCTTTCCTCTACCCCTGGTTCAGGGATCGAATCCCATCTCAGTGTTTTCATATTTTTGCTTCTTAACTTCAATTTACTCCTTATTTGCTTTGAAAGAAATTCCACTTTTATTGACCTCCAACTTGAACTTTTATTTTCTTCTTTTCTTCACACACAAATGTATCAAATAGTATCAAAAGTACCTGAAAATACAAAATACATGCATAGAACTACACATCGTACAAAGTAATGATAAATAATAAAAATATGTACAAATATACAAATTAAGTGACCAAAATTATTAACAAACTAAGCCTAAAAAGTGTGTAAAATACAAGCACATCATATACCGAGTAAAATAGTCCACAAATATAACATAATAATGATGACCCGTAACTGACGTGTCATTTGTGCACCAAACATCAAAATAGATAAGTTGAAGAGGAGACGTTGCGGTCATGGAATTAGTAAAAAATGGTAATTTTGTACTTTTATTAATAGAACAAGAATTACAATGATGATCCATAGGACTATTACATGCTATAGTCGGCTTATTTTTACTAATTGAAAACTGCAACACACGAGAGGATGGATGGCCGAGTGTATGGTGCCACCGTGAAACTACTGAAGCTGAACTGAAATTGACTTGAGGTGAACGTATTTTGAAACTGGGTGGTGCATAGTAGACATCATTGAAATTCTCCCCGCGCATGAGAGGCGCCCCCCTGATTTGATCCTTAACCAAAAAATGAGAGGAGAAAAATTCAATGGAGACATTATTAGTTTTGCATAATTTTGCAACGGAAACAAGATTTTTATGAAGATTAGGGACACATAAAACATTAGAGAGAGAGATGTCGGGTGTGGGTGGGTATAATAGTGTTACCAGTATGAGTGATCCAAAGGGACTTACCATCACCAAGTTGAACTTCATCATGGCCACCATAATCGGTGTAGTTCCGGAGATTGGCGGCATCGGTTGTCACATGATGAGATGCTCCACTATCAAATAGCCAAGGTTGAGAAGACCCAGGAGTGGATGTTGTGGTGTGATTGATGACCGGCCCACTGGGATGAGGTATATTGTGATCACGTAAGAACCGTTGTAGTTTGCGGCATTGTTGGACTTCGTGACCAAGGTTGTCACAAAAACGGCACACCACTACATTAGACTGGTTACGGGAGGGCTGAGAGGGAGGGCCTCTCCCACACCCGGGATATGAGTTCCTGCGGTCGTTGGTGACATGAGTGCGACGGTCGTGTTGGGTGTTGGAGCAAGGTGTGCGCTCGGTGATATGGGCTGTGGGCAGAAGCGCCTGAGTATGGGCGGCCTCCTCATTGATACGAGTTTCACGTTCCAATAGAATTTGTTGAAGCTCGGTTAAAGGAAGGGTAGTCTCACGAAGCCGGATGGCGGACGTGAGGTCGGAGTAATCGGAAACAAGGCCGTCCAGAACGGTGATAACGAGATCTTCCTCCGAGATGGGGTTTTGAGCGAGAGCCAATGCATCCGCAAACGTCTGGATTTCAGCAAGATATGCCATAATTGGACGAGAGCCCTTGGTTGTACGTGCCATAGTTGTTTTGAGTGAAATGATCCGGCCACGCGAACTACTGGCGTAGGTGCCAGATAACTTGTCACATGCATGTTTCGCCATTGGTGAAGAGGATATCACCGGCTGAATGGTGTCAAAACAGCTGCTGAGAAGAGCGCTCAAGATCGTCTTATCCTGTCTATACCAAATGGTATAACATGGATTGATTTGAGATTTGTCTTCATCAAGGAATTTGTCAGGGGTAACAACACTTCAATCAACGTAGTCATCAAGGCCAACTCCAATGAGAGCGGAGTGAACCTGACATTTCCAAACGGAAAAATTGGATGACGTCAGTTTGATGGGAAAATGGGTGGTGGCGGTGAGCGGGATAACAATGGTTGTTGCAGTGATTATCATGGTGAGATAATCACGAGAAGAGAAAAAAAATGATTGATGATCTCTTTAGAGAATGACTCTTGATACATGTAGAAATATGAATTAGAAGATATACTCAACCTTATGAAAATGATTTACACTTGGCCGTATATATACATAAAGCTACATACATATCTAGCTATCTAAGAGATGATAATCTATCTCAACTGCATGCACCATAATAGGGATAGGAATGGCTACCTATATGTACTTTTATATACGTACTACATGTACTACAACATTCGTATATATATGTACATTAAATAATAAATAATGTAACAAGATTAATAATGTGCTTATATAAAGTTGAGACCCGAATCTGGCAGTCCTTGACCAGTCCACTCCCAACAGCTAAATTTGACTTATTTTATATTTTACATGTGGGTATAGTACTTGTTTTCATGTGAATCCGAGCATACACACACCTATAAAGATGAGTCTAAGGGTATGTTTGACACAACTAGCTAAAAAGATACTTTAATGAGCTTTTTAGCAAGTGTTAGCTTTTAGTGACTGAAAAGATCTTAAAAGAAAAATGTAGTAGATGTTTGATAAGAAGCTGACTGTTTGATTTAGTTCTGTTTCGTATACAAGCTGTTGTGACTTATTAATACTAGAAGCTACAAACTTATATGAGATGCTACTCACTGTAGCATCTCAAAAAAAGATCTTTTATTTTTAAAAAAGCTTATAAAAATTGGCACGCCAAACATACAACTACAAGCTTTTAAAGAATTGTTGAATAGTATAAAAGTTATAAGGCAGAGACTTATGCATGTCAAACATGCACTAAGTCAAAAGTAAACATCTCATAACAATGAGAGTAAATAAAATGCAATAGAGCATTATTCTAAAATGTGTGGATTAGATCGATCCCTTTCTCATTAAAAACATGCGATGGACAATAACATACAGTGGCGGACCCAGAGATTTGTGAGAGCAGGGGCACACTAGACAATAAACTTAGTCTATAACAAAAACTTCAAATGTAATAAAACTGGTATATAAAGTATTAAATTATACGGAATAGTTCATTACATATTAAATAGTTCACGACTGCAACTTTGGTAAATCAAGCCTACGAGTTTTCATATTCTGAAAGTGTTGCATAATAGTTTCATTATCAATGCTTCTAAAAACATCTCTCTCTATGTAGCACACCAAACAATCCGTAAGATAGTCATCTCCCATCTTATTGCGAAGATCTATCTTGATAATATTCATCGCAGAGAAGGCCCTTTCAACGGTGGCTGTTGCAACTGGTAATACTAAAGCCAACTCAATCAGACGATATATCAAGTGAAACGAATTGTGAACTTTAAGCTCAACCATCTTCTTACAAACTTCACCAATAGTTTGTATGTCAGAAAATAATTCATTTGTTCTCATTTCATATATCCACACTTGGAGTTGCTCTTTCAGCTCCATTCGGTCAACAGATGAAAAATCACATGAATATAACTCTGCAAGGTTCAGTAGCTTTGACTCACAGAAATTGGAGAACTTATCTCTAGGATCAAGACATGCTAAGCAAGTGAGTAATTCTGTGTTTGACTCACTAAAGCGATTCTCCATCTCAAGACTGATCTGGTCAATAACCTACAATGAAAACAATAGTAACAATAATAATTAAAACAAAAATAAGTATAATAATAATAATAATAATAATAATAATAATAATTGTTATTATATTTTAAAGTACCTGGCAAAATATATCAACACGAAAGTGGTGATAATTTGTTACCGGGTGACGAACACGTCTAGAACGATGATTCGTCTCTTCCATGTTAAGAATGTCAATTTTGTTCTTGACACAAAAGCTACTGACATCTTCCAAGAGACCATCCCATCCACTTTCTCTCAAGTCTTGAAATTTAGCTTTAGTGCTTTTAACTAAGCTCACAGCCTCCAGAATATTTTGATCTTTTTGTTGCAAGAAATGTGACAATATATTCGTCAATCCCAATATTTTTTTCATCAACTGAGCAATAAAAACAAACTGATAACTCTCCATCTTATCTACCAAACTACTAGCAGAGCCTCTCGATTTTAGATCAGTTCCATCATCAAATATATTGTCCAAAACTTGAATAGTAGGAGACCACATAGAAAGAATACGGATAATGGTTGTATGATGTGAACCCCAACGTGTAGCTCCCGGCCTAGCTAAACTACTTTCTTGATTCAATCCTCTCCCAGTTGTAAGCTCACCCTTTTCTAACATCTCTACCATGGCTTCATGTTGCTTTTGCCGAAACTCATCCTTTCTTTTACAAGAAGATCCTACCATGTTAGTAATCATGGACAAATATTCAAAAAAGTCACTCACAAACTTATTGCTTTGTGCAACAGCCACAACAACTAATTGCAATTGGTGAGCAAAACAATGAATATATCTTGCATGTGGATTTTCATTCAAAATAAGAGTCTTCAATCCACTAAGTTCACCTCGCATATTAGAAGCTCCATCATATCCTTGACCTCTAATTTTGGACAAAGATAATCCATGCTTAGCAAAAAAATTCATCAATGCCGCTTTTCAATGAAAGTGCAGTAGTGTCAACAACATGTTTAACTCTAAGGAATCGCTCTATAACAACTCCGTTATCATTTACATATCTCACAACAATTGCCATTTGCTCTTTCACAGAATTATCACGAGCTTCATCAATCAACAAAGAAAAGAATTTGTCACCAATATCACTAATTATGACTTTTAATGTCTCTGATGCACAAGAACTAATAATATCCTTTTGAATCTTAGGACAAGTAAGTTGGTGATTTGATGGTGCATTATCTTTCACAACCTTTGAAACTTCAACATTGCGTGCACTATACCAATCAAGTAATTCCAAGAAATTACCTTTATTCAATGAAGTTTCTCTCTCATCATGTCCACGAAAAGCCAGCCCTTGTGCAATTAAAAATCTAGCACAATCCACACTTGCATTCAAACGGGTGCGGTATGCTGCACCCAATGTTTGTATTCCTGAAGCCACACATCTTGGAAGGCTTTGCTTTTGATTCCTGAAAGCAAAAAATTTTATTCTGGCATTATTGTGGGCACTTTTTACAATTCCTACATGATCTCGAAAACTTGCGAGACTTTTCTTCCAATTACGAAATCCGGTCCTCACAAATACATCATCTCCAAATCTCCTCCCTTCTACCTCATGGAAAAGGTAACACCAAAAGCAAAATGCAGCATCTTTAGAAACACTATACTCTAACCATTCCCAATTTTTATACCACTCTGCTCGAAAACTTCTCATTTTTTTCCCAAATAAAGTTTTTGGAAACTTATGAGACAACGGTTGACAAGCACCTTTAACAACATATGCTCTCATCACATCATCTCTTACTCGAGGCTCATATTCATTGATTGGCTTTCGTAATCCAGGATCGCTAATGATATCCCACTCACACGTACTATCTGTGCGGGCTCTTTTGTCTCCCCTAATGTCATTAGATTCATCTCGAACAGTTCTTACATTCGAAGCAACAACAATTGCATTACTTGAGACAGACTGATTAGGGACATTCGAAGAACTATCTCCTGGAGTTAAAGACCTCTTACTCCGAATTACAAACTTATCCAAACTCATTTTCCTAACAAAAAAGACAAATACAATGAAATCTAATTAAATCAATTTCTACATCCTAATTATTTCACTAAATTAAAAGAAAAAAATCCTTACAAATTAGAACCCTAATCCGTAATTAGAGTGCAATCACAAATTCAAACTATCAACTTTCAAGTAAACAAACAAATGAACAATCCTCAATATTCTTGATTATTGACAATCTCAATTTTTAAAGTAATCCCCTGCGGCAACCGTCACTCTGCAAATCTGCAATTGACGGAAATCGGGTGTCGGAGATGCGGAATAAATTTGAAGTAAACTTACAGATCCAGGAAGTATGGGAAGATTTAGGGGTGTGGCGGTGGCGCGGTGCAGTGTCAATTGAGCAAGACGTCAAAACCCCAAAGCCAAAGCAGCGATCCAGAGAACTTCCGCTATTTTCTTTCTAGTCTTTGTGGGTTTTGTTTTTAGATTTTTAATTGTTTTGCTTACCCGCACGTTTGGCTACTTTTGTGCACTTTTAACTTTTTTGTGTTACTTTTTTGTTTTCAACCCTTCAGTATTCTTTTTTTGTATTTTGATAATTTATATCTTTTATTTTATTACAGCTAAAATTTTAATATTTTGTACTCTGTATTAATTTTTTATTATTGTTATAACTGTAACATTTTAGCATCTTAATTATCAAATATCGGTATGAAGCGGAGGCACTAGTTTTACATCAAGTGGTACTAGTGAAATTTCGGGTCCAAAGCGGGGGCACTGGTTTTTACCTTAAGTACTACTAGTGAAATTCCGGGCCCGAAGATGGGGCACTTGCCCCACCTAGCCCCCCCTAGGTCCTCCACTGATAACATACATAACTAATAATGAGAAACTGTCATGTGTATATATATGATAACTTTTAAAAATATACCACCTCCATCCTAGTCTATGTCTTTTGTTATGGTTTGACACAATTACTAATAAAGTGATTGAAAAGTAAAAGTTATGGATTGTATATACAATAAATGTACGAAGCCCCATATATCATGTAACAATTTATAAAACAATAAATTGTGTATTGATTAAATATGAGCTTGCTATATGAAGTATAATATAAATATAAATTGAGGGTTGGGCTTAAAATAATAAAATTTATTGAGATAATCAATCAACAACTTTGTTAGAGGAAAATCAATTATATATCTCTTTCCTATCACATTGTCATTATATAGAACTATATAAATATAAATATAAATATAAAGATAAAAATAAGTGTAGCGTACTCTTCATAATATGTACATGTATAGTGTACTGCTAGGAACATACCATGAAATCACCAAATAAACTTTTGCATATATCTTCATGGAATTGGGCACATCCGGTCCATCCGGAGCACGGGGGATGACTTTATATCCAAAGAAGGAGGTAGCATAGATATGACAAATAAGAAGCATCAATCCTACAACATTCAAACGCATTTTAATGCCGTCGCTCGCTGCCGCATCACAGACCCGGGTCTGATAATTAAATAGATGACATATTAAGAATAAAATACGAGGCCTAACATATAATACAAAAATGCTAATTGACGTGCACTTTGTCGTGAGTGCACTCAAAATAAATTCAACATTAACACTTATACGTAGTATAGGTGAAGTAGAGTTCGTATCCACAGGGAAAGGAATAACTTTCTTTTTATATAAATAGTAAGTAAAGGGGGGTTTTGATTGTCGAGTGATTTAATTAAATTTAAACACGAAGATGAACGGTTTATATGAGATTTAATTCAAAGATAAAATTGACTTGGTATTGCTACTTTCCACTTGTTGATATATTTTAGTCGATCATTGTTATATCTATAACTTATCTCCTCTCGAATACTCAATCGAGGAGTATATCCAATTCATCGAGGATAGTTATTAACAACGACCGTTCATTAATAACCCTTACTATTAGTCAAGTATAGAACAAGCGCCGTATACCGACTTGATAGTAGCATTTAATCGCTTAACTCCTTGATGAAATCAATTGAGATCGATAACCTCAACACAAGCGGTTTTGGTTTAACCAACACAATTAATTCCTCTTAGGTCTATTAACCACAACCGTGCATTAATAAACCGGAGTTACTTACTTGTGAAACTATCAACGATTAACCATCGGTTCGTTGATCATTTCTAGTAGTAATTAATATTTGAAACAAAACTAGTTGATCCTTTAAGTAATGTTCAAAATATTAATATGAAATATGAATAGGAATTAATTAATACTCAAGGAAGAATATTAAAAGGGAATGAATCCTACTATAGTTAAATATCAAGATGTTAACTAATTGTCATCTTAGTAACACTCCCCGATATTAACATAGAGGAAGGAATAGCTATTACTAAAACCAATGTCAAGATGTTAACTAATTGTCATCTTAGTAACACTCCCCAACATTGATATAGAAATAGTATTTAAAGGAAGAATTAATATTCAAGGAAAAGAAGTTAAGAAAATAACTCACAACTTTAATAATCAACAAGCTTCAAGAGCAATACCAAGAAATGGAAGTTTAGCTCCTCATTTGGAGACTAAACATGCTAAAAGAAATATAAGAAATGCTATTCTAAACTGAGCTTAAGAGTGTATATGAATTGGTGTCTAAAGTGAAGGGAAGGAGGTGTATTTATAGGCTTTTTCAGGTGCAGGCCGAGTACTCGATCGAGTATGTACATATACTCGATCGAGTATGTGTAAAACTTCGAATTCGATCCATACTCGATCGATATTCGGTCATAATTTATATGTATGCCCGATCGAGTATGTCGGTGTACTCGATCGGGTATAACAATAGAACGTGGCCAAATCTTTCCTTGCATGTTCCTTTGTTCCCGGATCGGATTCTTGAAAATCAGTATTGGTACTCGATCGAGTATAAGGTATACTCGACCGAGTACAGGTCAAAATCAGGAACTTTCTTTCTTTTTTGTCTTGTACTCTTGCACCTTCCTTCACCAATGATCATTTGATTGATCTTGGACCTGTTTAAGCTCAAAATAAACCTAATCTAAACAATTTACAAGAATTTAACAAACTAACTATTACACCAAAAGTGTGTAATTTCCGAAATATTAAACAACCAAAACTAACTAAAAACGTAAATAAACACACGGAAATTACAAACGTATCAACTCCCCCACACTTAGTTCTTTACTCGTCCTTGAGTAAAGTCAAATGTTTCAAACAGTTAAAGATCATTCCATGAGTTCAAGAAAGAAAAGAGCTAAGATCACCAAGAAATAAAAAATGATTTTACAAACAACATTCTCTCTTGGGTTTTATGATCTTCTATGCTCCATCTTCTTGCCTCTTCTTCCTCTTCTTTTCTTTTTCTCTTTTTCTCCTCTTTCTCCCCAAAAGATCAAGTGAGTTCCTGCACACAACA